CTCATCTTAAAGTGCCCAAGTTTGGACAACACTGTTCTAGGGTATATTAAAAGGATCATGAAACCCTGCCCCAAATCTTCATTGCCCCCTTTTAAGGATAGCAAGATTAAGGCAGGGCTGTTCTGAGTCCCTTTCTCACGCTTTCCACTTTCCCAGGACCCAGCAACCATTTCTCCTCTCCTGTCCCTTTTCTCAAGGCCAGAGCACAAAGCCTCTACGGTTCCCCTTTGAGACCTCCAAAAGCTCTTTCATCTGTATGTGCAGAAGTGAAATGTATAGAAGATATGACTGAGGAGGATCAGTTGCATGTATTTAATTTTAATTTGATGGAAATGAAATGAAATGAAATGAAATGAAATGAAAAGTGAAGTCTTCTCAGTCATGGCGTTGCCCTGTTCCCCCCGGAGGCTGGAAAATGGGATCCCCTTGACGGATCTGAAAGCTGGGAGATCCCAGGGTTTAGACCAGGCTGGGAAGGTGAATTTCATCTCAGAAGAAGCCACTGCAAGGAGTTCTCTGGTTGGCCAAGAAATGTTGTGGCATGGCTTGGCTTGACCTGAGGACATCTTTACCTTTCTTAACCTACGTTAAGCTACACTTTGACCACCCTCCACTGTATGATTTTCATGCTGCTCCTTCATCTATTTCAGTTGTATTATTGTTGATTGATTCTCCTTCCTTCCTTACATTTACATAGTTTGGTGCCATGCATGAAGTCACATTTTATATTTATCCTCACAACAGCAACTTTGTGAGCAGGGGAGGTGCGAACAGGAAGTGGTCAATTTTTTTAAAAAAAAAAGTCAAAACGGCTGCCATCTTAGCCTTTGGACCAGCGTCAGGCAGCAAACCCCATTTTAAAGAGGAGATCTGAATGATTCGTTCCCCTAATATGAAACTGCACGTACTTATTTTGGCTGTCTTATATTGGTTAGAACGTTCTCTGGCATTCTTAAATGGTGATGTGTAAGTGCTCAGCAAGGAAATGGCGCCATACATTATACACAGTTCACTTTGCCCAGCCCTCCTGTTAAAACGCGGCTCGTAAGGCTGAGTAATTGTGTAGTGAAAGTCCGGCCCCACCTACTGGTTGCAGCTTTGACCTTGGCACAGGTTAACGTGTAGGACCTGCGCATCCTGCAGTCTGAAAAGGTTACCCACGCCTGCGTTAGAAAACCACAGGCTTCCCCACAAAACGCACCCTGCAGACCCCTTGGCATCTTTTTTCCATTCATTGCCGTTTTCACCTTCCTGTCCTACCCCCCTGCGAGAAAAGGGGACACAGACGAACTCCATGTTAAATAGGTAGCACACCCGTTATTCCCTATAAGGACCTCCCAGCTGTATCTGCGTACGGGTTTTCCAAGCCAAAGAGACACCTATCAAATTAAGAAACACAGCACAAGTGCCAAGCAGGCGAGTTAAACCATTTCAGCCAACTCGACGTGCCTCTGGAATCGGCCTCAAATGGATCGTCTTCTCCTGGTGCCAAGTCAGAAGCCGCTTCCTTCAACGCCTAGTCCTTGCGTCTGCACTTGGCCTGTTTTCAAGGGTACTTGCTAATGCTCCACAAGGTTTCTCCTCTTTATGGACTAGAACAGCAGACCTTTGCGTTGCAAGCAGCTCTAGGGGTTGTATTTAATTTCTGTTGGCAACCAGAACAGAGCAGACCAGCCGGAACATTTTAAAAAGCCACCCATGCTTTGCTGAGCAGAGTAAATCTTCCTTAATTATTTTAGAGGCTGGTTCATGAAGAGAGAACCTGGGTCCCCAAAGTGAGAGGAGTATAGATTTCTAGGTAAGGAGAATAAATGCGCAGTGCCAACTCAGCTGTAAACAGGCTTCTTCCCAGCTGCCAGTTCTGCTCTAAAGGTCACCGGGATATGAGAACAGAGGCTCTGATGTCCTCCTCCGTGGTGGCAGAGGTGTGGAAAGATTCCTAAAACAAATCTCTATCAGCAACCGACAAGTGTTGGTCGTTGCGACAAGCAGAGTCTGGAATATTGCAAGTTCAGCAAGACCCATATGCGCTGCTGCGCTTCCCTTCCCCAAAAGCCAGGCCATCAGGGAAGATGGGTCTTGAGAATGGCCCTAATGCAGAATTGTTTTGCTTTCAGATGTCCATCATTAACTTAAGACAGTGTTTCTCAACCTCAGCAGCCTTAAGAATATAAGAAGAACCTGCCCATTGGATGCCTTTGGGATGCAAGCTCCACCCCCTTTTTACCTTGCCATGGTGGCAAAGCACATGTACAATAGGGGGGGAGTTTGCATCCTGAAGCCATATCTCTGCC